GACCACACACCTGCCTAACAAATAGCTTGTAAGTAGTTTGGAGGGTTGATTCAGCTGCTGTATGTATTGGGGATATGAAGCTGTTTGTACTCCACAGATGCTGGCTGTGTTTTCAGGCTTGTTGTCTACACAAGTAACATATAATCTTGAAAGCATCCTTGGGACAACTCGTTAAGATCCACTGTAAAAATACTCTAGGGTGCTTTCCCATTGCTATTTATGAAATAGGAGTAAATGAATAATAGTCAACAATGATCTTGAGGAAAACCAAGGAAGAACCTCCAAGCAGAGACTTGCCAGTCCATCACTGCCTATCTACTTTGTGTGAGAGGGCTGGTCAATGGCTTCCTGTGTGCACGTTTGGGAGTTCTCCTTTTTCTTTAAAATATGTTCTCTATTTCAAATGCTGATGTTCATTTTCAGCATATGGGGACCATTAGCAATAGTGAAGCTGGACATAAGGCTTAACGCGTTAAATCACTTTAGAATGTCGCATCTGTTTTTTTGCCCTGGTGTTAACACCTGGATCAGTTTAGCACTAGCACAGACATTTAGGACATATATAGCTGTTAATTTTAAAAACATCTGGGATTTTTTTGTGTGTTTATGCATCTATATGTGCATGTGTGAACTGCTGGATCTACAGCATTTTTGAGTTTGATCAAAAAATCTTACTAAATTGCTCTCAAAGTGTGTAGCAACCTAGGCAAATAAGTGGTTTATGGCAGGAGGCAGAAGGATTCTTTCAAGTGGATTAGAAATTGTGATTTTTGCCTTTACAGCTTTTGTCTTTCTTCAGACTTCTATTTCTGAAGAATTGATAGCTGACTCTGATTCCTTCCCCCACCCCCCGCCCTGCTTCTCAAACCCATCCATTTGTTGTACACTGAATAAGATATCCCGCTCTCCTGGGATGCGTGAAATGGGCAGGCATTAAAAATTGAAGAAAGCAAGTTCCCTGACTGAGTCCGCAACCCTTATCTGAGGCTGCTTGAAAGTAAAAATGCCGATTGTGTTGGAGCTTTGAAAAATGACTTTCCCTGGTGACCCGCTGCCTTTTAGCGAGAGCAGAGTTTACAGCTCTCTTTGAGTGATGAGTGCAGTCGGAGAGTTTCTCTTGTTATGCCCATTAGCAAGATTGGACTAATCTGCGGGACGTAACCTGAAGGTAAACTGTGAGTGAAGGAGAAGACAAGGCTAATAAGGCGTTTTGTAGTTTCCTTTATCCCAGAGTCTTTCCCAGAGCCAGCAATTAATATTATTTTCTATCTGTGGAGAGCCCCGGTGGCTGCCAGCGCGGGAGGCTTTACAAAGGATGTGTCAGCACTACCTGCCAGCCTGTGAAGAGGGACTGCTTTCAAAATTGCCGTTGAAATTGGCAACTAAGCATCCATACTGCAGCAGAGTTAACGGCTAGTTAATTTAGTAATTAAAGAAAACCAGGGCCTTGCCCCAGCCAGGAGCAGGGCACCGAGGCAGCCCCAGCCCCGGGGCATCGGGCACCTCCCCGGGGCAGAGGCCAGGCCGGGACATGGGCCCGTGGGTGGGCCTGGCTCAGCAGGGCTCATGGCCGGGCAGGGCAGGGCTGTGGGGAGCTGGAGACCAGCTGTGGTGTCACTGGGGCAGGGGCTGATGGCCCCGGGGGGCTGACATGGTGTCCTGGGCCTTAGACAGGGTGCGGGAGCCTCGGGAGGGAGGTCAGGGCTGTCAAGGCTTATTAGTGCCCTTGGGGCCCTGACATGAGCAATTTAGTACTATTTATTTTTGTTCTTTTATTAGATACAGAGCTTGTATTTCTCTCCCCTTCACAGAGATAAACATTTCATTTTGTGTTTTTCTTGCCAGTGCTGTTGGACAGCCAGGCTGGCGATGCAGATGGGCATGGCCCCGGCTGGTTGTGCGTGGGCTGTTTCTGGCTGACCTGTAGTGGTGTTGTCCAGGGTGTTGTCCTTAGTGCTACTGAGACCTTGTTCACTTTTACTTTTGAGGGCAAAATGACACAGAGCTGCCTGGCTCCAGTATCTCAGATGCTCATATTCCTGCGTGCCGTTGCACAGTCAAATCTAATGTTGGCTGAGTGTGTTTTTCCTTACATTTTATAACGTGAAACAGAGTAGTTGTTGAATGTTAACAAGCAACCTATGTGAGACATGCTTCTTTGCTGTAGGACATCTAGCTTTGCTCTTGTATTAGACTTTTCTAATATCCCCAAGCATTAGCTAGACTTTTTTCTTTTACTTTCAAACATTTAGCAAAAAAGTAACCATATGGAAAGAACTTTATTTAAAATTTTGACTCATAGAGAATACAACATTTGACCTGACTGAACCACCGAGTAAGCTGGGACTGGCAGCTTCTGTGTTTTTCATGATAACTGGCAGGTACTAGAATCTGTTGCCTTTACACACTTAAGAAACTAGGAGTATTTCAGAACTGCCTGCTGAAATCTGTACCCAGATACAGGGTGATCAATACCCTATCTTGAAGGCTTCCTTTTGGTTTTTTGTTGTGGTGGGTTTGGGGTTTGTTTATGGGTGTTTTTTGTTTGTTGGTTTGTTTTTTTTAAAAAAATTTTTAATATGAACAGGACTGAACGAGAAAGGATCAGGGTTGCATCAAATTTGTTGCTAAGGCTGTAAATAAAATTTGGCTGTATTAATGCCTTCAGAATGCACAATAGGTTTCTTTATGATTTGGAGAAAAGCAGTTTACTTTTGGTGGGGAATAGTCCAACATGAGTATGTGCTGCATGAAAATGATCAGCTTAGAGGGAGAGGGCTGTTCTCTTAACAAGTGTAGCAGCATAGTGTGGAGTTGTTTTATACATGTGTACTCATAGCTGCAGTTCTGTTTGTTTTGTTGGTGGTTTTTTTTTAAGTGGTTGCACTTAAAATGGCCACATTTGCAAAAGATACAATAAAAGCTACCGTTTCCTGGGAACAACCTGTGCACCATCTAGGCTCTTTATAGCAGAGTGCTCTGCCTCGGGGGAGGGCAGTTGCGCTGGCAGTATTATTGCCACTTATTTTCTTAGTTTTCCTCCAAGAAAAAGCACTTTTGCAGTTCAGTGTTTCAACTCTAAATCCTGACATCCGATAGCCATTCTTAGCGCTTGGGAGTCTGTAGTCTAATGTGTTATGTTTTTTGCAGAGAAAGGATTCTTTCTAGCTTAACACCTGCTTTATTCTTGTCGAATTCCTAGTTTTTTGATAGTGGTTTTGAGAGTCATACTACAAACTGAAATCACAAACAGAGGAATTAGATTTCAGGAAAGGACTACATGGAAGGACAAGATAAATAATGTGAAAACAAAGATCTTGTTTTCTTCCAATGTTCTTTTGTGACTGGACTAAAATGAGAAAAATGTGTGTGGGGTTGGGAAAACAAATACCAGCAACCTGATCCACTGCATAAGCAGAAGTCAAAATGAAAATTTTCAAGTATTCTAGAAAGCATCATCAGATCTTTAAAGGATTTGAGCGGACCTCTCCATAACCTCTGTATGCTCAGAGACAAAAGGACATGCCGAGAGGAAGCATGTCTGAAAGCATTACAGCAATGTGCTCTGGACAATGGAAATGCTGAGCTGCATGGTATTTGGAGTATTTGCATGAAGATTCTGTGGCATGGTATATCAATGTTTGAGCATTTTTCTTTACAGAACAAGACAACATTCCTGAAAGTAATACCATTTAAAAAAAAAAAAAAAAAAAAGGGATTTGTATACACATTCCAAGGGAATGGAGAGTGTGAGGGGAGCCTTGGAGTATGAATTAGAGTGGTGCATTGCAAACACAGTCCTGGGTTTCACACCTTTTTTTTTTTTTTTCCTTCCTCATCTGAATTGAAAATTGTTAATTATGGGAAGATATTTATTGGAAAGTCAGAAAAAGGGAATGAGTCAAGAATTAGATATAAATCATCTCTCTTGTTTAATATTTTTAATAGAAGAGTCTTGAATTGTCTGGATTCTTAATTACCCTGGTAAAATAAATGCTAAATGAGTTAAGCTCAGTAGTTACAAAAATGCATCTTTAAAGAATTGCTTAAATACAACTTCAGTTATGAAGGCAAGTAACTAATTAAATTCTAGTCATCTTTTCTGCTAAGCAGGTCTCATACCTTCTCCCACAGCATAAATTTTAAATGCAAATGATTTGATTTGTACAAACATTATAGGGGACAGATTTTTACAGTACTGAATTAGACATGGAGACTGCTAATGGCTGGCACCAGTCCTTGCCGGGGTGTTGGAAACATAAATGCTGAAACCTGCAGCATTTTTTTTTCCAATCAAGCTGACAGACTTGAATACATAAACTAATACAGACTAAAAATATTTTTTTCCTCCATTGTAAATATAAGAAATTTAAAGAGAAGGTATATTTTCATCTGCAAAATATTCTGCTGTCTGCCTCCAGCAAGGTGTTTGCAGAAAATATTGTCAGTCAAAATATGTACGAGAGGGTTGTGGGAGTGCCCTGTACAGCACCAGAGATTTGCATGCTCCTACCAGCTTCTGTATTTATTATTTGCCCATGTCAGTGAGATTCATTCCAACACCTAAATTAAAATTTTAGTATAAAAGGCCAGTTGCATTTTTAGTTCGGAATTACTAGAGGATCTGGTTTTTTCAACAATAATGTTTGTAATTTTGTCATATTTCTTTTGCTTTTTAATTATAACTCATCAAATCTTAACTGATTACTCCTGGGTTAAACTCAGAAGAATGTCACTGAAGGGTGTTTTAATTTAATGGAAGCAGCGTAACATCTGTTTCTAATGTTTTAAAAGCCAATTTATATGGAAATTTTGCTTTAGTGGGAAGTCAATAGATACATAGTTTTCTAACACCTCCTGTAAAAATTCAAAGCTTGAATTAAAGCAGCACCAAAGCAGTGCCATTCTTTCTTGTGGTAGCAGAGTAATTGCATTTTCACAGCCTTTCGTTTGTACCCTTTTCCTTCTGTTGAAATTAAGTTTTTATTTGTCTTTTGTAGTCGAGCTATCAAGACAAACCAGGACCTTCTGCCTGAGACGCCCTGGACCCATATCTTCTACAATGACTTCTGGGGGACACTGCTCACTCACAGTGGGAGCCACAAGTCCTACAGACCTCTCTGCACGCTGTCCTTCCGCATTAACCATGCTGTTGGAGGGATGGACCCATGGGGCTACCACCTTGTAAACGTCCTATTACATGCTGCAGTCACAGGCCTTTTCACAAACTTCTCCAGGATCCTGTTTGGAGATGGGTACTGGACCCTGATAGCAGGCCTGCTGTTTGCATCTCATCCGATCCACACGGAGGCTGTAGCGGGGATTGTAGGGAGGGCAGACATTGGAGCCTGCCTCTTCTTTCTGCTTTCCCTGATGTGTTATGTGAAGCACTGCTCTACCAGAGGCTCCTCACCGAGTACTTGGGGCTGGATCTTGGGAGCGGGGCTGTGTGCAGGGTGCAGCATGCTGTGGAAGGAGCAAGGAGTGACTGTTCTGGCCATTTCAGCGGTGTATGATATCTTTGTATT